TCATCATTTTCTTGGTGTTCTTTACTAATTTTGGAGGATATTGCGTTAGAGATCATTTTTGGTAATTTACCAAATTTGGAATTCATTATACAAGGAAACACGATCAAAACCTCGATTTCGGCTAGGTCTCAGCGTTTTTGGCGGCTGAATAACGTTTTCGGTAAAAAGACTTGGGGTTCTCGGTCAAGATATACCATTTTCGGCCAATTGTTTTCGGTTGAACCATTGACTTTAAGGGATTTCGGTCAAACTGGTTGACTTTCAAGGTTTTCGGTCAAAATCAATTTACACAATCAGATCCCTTTTTTGTTGGTAAATAATGAGTTCTTACAACAGTACCAAGGAGGTTAGTGAAACCACATGCTCTCAGTCCTGTGAAGGTAAAATAAATAAATACCATGAACAAAATGAATTATTAGTTAGAGAGGTTTTTGCCCTAAAAAATGAAATATATGAAATCAAGAAAGTAAATAAACCGTTTAAAGAAAAACTAGAAGCACAAACTAAAGATTTAAGCAAGATTAAAGAAGAATATAGCACCAAATATGTTCACTATCGTTTTTCCAAGGAAAAATTGAAAACTTAACTGCTTAACTTGATGCATTAAAGGCTAAATTTAAAGATGCTGAATTTAACTTTAAGAAATTTGATGTGTCAAGTGAGATAGTTGAATCTATGATAGAAAAACAATTAAAGTGGAAAGACAAACAAGGTGAGGGTCTAGGGTATCACAGTGTACCACCTCCCTTCAATGATAACTATACTCCAGCTTCTGAAACCATATAGACAGAAAAATCTGTTCAACATGGTTAGCCTACCGAAACTGTTTCAGTTAAGACTGAACAATCCATCAAAACTGAGCATACTGAGGTGAATGATACTAATGCTTCTACTTCATGTGCAGAGAAAGTAAAAATGCAAGACGGGTGCGAGAAAAACAAAGAATTTGAAGAGGATGCTAACAATTTTCAGCCACATAAAGTTGTGAAACAATTTGTTAAACATTCTTGTATTTGTGGAAATTCAGTTGGACAGGGACCAAGTTCTGAACATCTTCCTTTTAAAAGACAAACCTGCTTTAACTATGGAATTCCTAGTCACATTGCTAGAAATTGCCCACATCGTTAAGATGTTCCCTACTATGAACAGGGTTGGAAGAACGTGCCAAGGGGGAGATGTTCCAAAAGAAATCCTTCAAGGTCACATTCAAGCAATGGTGATTGGAATGCTAAAAAGACCAAAAATCAGGCTCTGAAGAACAAAAAGGTCATGTCTGACAAGAGATCTGATTCGAGAAATAGTTCAGTCAATCCAAGATCGGTAAGGTCGAAGTCATATCGGCGATCGGTCTCAAGCTCCAAAACATGTGTTGAAGCATCCATCCGATTAAACAAGAAAATGGTTAAACCTGACTACATATGGGTACCAAAAGTTCCCACTCCCAAATCACCTAAAAATTTTAACATCTCTTCATTTTATGTGTTTGATAAACAGGATATGACTTAGGAACATGTATCATGCTTAGATGGCAAAGGTCAACCCAGTTTCAAAATGGACTGGGTTCCCAAAACCAATTAATCCCGCACTCTGTGCCAGAGTAGCTATGGAGGAATATCATCAGACTTCGGTATGTTGATAGTGGCTGTTCCAGGAACATGATAGGGGACATCTCTCTTTTGCATAACATTCAGAATTTTAATGGAGAGCATGTGTTATTTGCGGGAAAGGAAAAGGAAAGATCACAAATGGGGATTTCTTCAATTGCTAAATTACAAAATTTCCTTCTTCTATTTCATATTTCCAAACACTTCCTTATTCCGTCTAGTCACACGGTCTCTGAATCCATCAACAGCTTCAAAAGACTTTCTCTTTACCTTACCCTTTGCATATTCATCTTTTCGAAAGCACTCTCTTTTCTTTTTTGTAAAAGGTTGTCTTACCAAACAAGACTGACTTACGGTTTGAATTTTCTGACTCTTCTTTTCTATGTGACAATAATGGTGATTTTCAATAGTCCAAAAACCTAATTTTCTAAAACCAAACTCATGCTTGTGGGATTTCTTAAGATGATACGTTTCGAAGACTGAAATTTCTTTTCATTTTTTTTATTTAGTATTTATTATTTTCATCCATTTATTTTACTTTTAGAAAAGGATATTTGTGACAATCTTTTGGGAAGTGATATGAGTTAGTGATAAAGGGAAAACAAAATGCGTGTAAAGCACTAAAGCTGGATTGTCTAAACTCTGTGTTCAATGTGTTGGTAGGCATATATGACTAAGGCTAATGGACTAGACAATGTCGACTCATTTGGACCTAGAAAACCCCCATTTGGACTGACAATACGATATTTGGATAAATTTAACAGTAAAATAGACAAGGAGGTCTATGACATAAATTGAAGCTAAATATTATCTAGATATGTGGCTCAACACTTCATTGGCGTATGGACTTGTGTCCTTAATTCTTGTATTGATAGGGGTAACTAAGGGGTTCTGATAAATTGGGTCTGTTTAAAATCGTTATTCTTTCTTTCTTAGTCAGTCATATGTTGTCCCGTCCATGTGATCGGAAGATCCGACCTGGGACACAACATATGCACTCAGATGATGTTCACTACTTTTAAGTCAGTAAATTGTCTCCAACAAATATCCTACTCTCTATGTTAGTCATATGTTGTCCCCTCTGCGTGATCGGTAGATCCGACCTGGGACACAACATATGCATTCCACAATGATTATCTACTCACCTGAAGTAAAGGATTCCGAAGAAATTTCCTTGATTACTGGGGTATGCCATGAAGTGGGGAACATGTTTCAGTGTACTAACATTAACTGCACCCATAACTAAAGGCTGACTTGTAGATTTTACTGGCTAGATTTAAGTAGACATCAATATCCTTGGTCGTTGTCAGACAAAATGGTCTATCTAGGAATATAGTAGCTATATATCGTCACTCATGATCTGTCCTGAAAAATGTCCATTATGTTTAAGTGGATCACAATATCAATGATTGACCAGAGCTTTTCATGAACGTGCGTGCTGATAAACCTAATTAATTTGCTTCATCACGTTTGATCCCAAAACTTTTTGTTCTATTAGAATCTGTTTACTACATTTTTTTTGTTGTATTTAAATTTGTACATATTTTCATTGTTATGCACAAATTTAGGGGGAGAAATAATAAAAATAAATAAAATAAAAAATAAAAAAATAAAAAAATAACTAAAAAGGGTTTAATTTTAATTTAATTTTTGCATTTGGTTTTTGAAATGTAAAATCGAAAGAAATCATTTTTATTAAAATTTGGGTTACTTTTCATGGGCCGAAATCGGTTAAGTGGGCCGTCTGGGATTTTTCGGTGATATATATACATCGTTTTCGGCTGGTTAGGGTTTTTCATCGAAAAACCCCAAACAACCATCATCATCGTCGTTTTTCTTCTCTCCCAATTTCTTCGAGTTCTTCTGCTAAAAACTATCCATTTGTTGCTTTTGTTGAAAATTGTTCGGTGAATCGGGTATTGTTTGGATTTTCGATCATGGAAATGGCATTTAAAGTTATTTTTGGTGTACTCGGTTTCAAAGATTTGCAGGTTTTTGAGTAAATTTTTCAAGGTTTTTCGAAGAACTATGTTGGAACAGGTTACGATGAGATTTCGGGTTTTCGGTTCAACCCGGATCCGACCGAAATCAGATGAAGATTTGACCGAAATCAGGGTTCTCGGCCAAAATCTACCAGCGTTGACCGAAATCATCTGGTCAACAAGTGTTTTGACCGAAATCGATCAATTTTAACCGAAATGGACTGAAATCTTGACTTTAACCGAAAACGACTGAAACTTTGTCTTTGATCGAAATCGAATAAAACTTTGACTTTAACTGAAATCAGATTTCAAACTCATTTTAATTAATTTTAAATTAATTCTCACTTGGCTAGTTTGGTGCAGATAAATGGAAGAGAAACTAAAATTCGTAGACTCTCACAACATTGCTGGATATCTCATGGATCCACCTGCTGCTCATCAAGAATTCAAATCCATGATGGTGGGTTTGAACAACTGCAGGATTTCTCAAGCCCTTCGTGCCAATCCAGTCATCCACAGAGACCTGATCACTGAGTTATGGAAAAATGCTTTAATCAACAAACTAGGAGATGGTATAGTGGAATCGATGGTGAAAGTAACACAAGTGATTATTTCTGAACAAGTTATCCGAGAGGTACTTGAATTTAATGATGCTTTTGCATTCCCAATTGAGTACTCTACTGATCAACTCAAGGAAGTTCTGGAAAAGATGTGTTATGAAGGAACCTATCCTCCCACTATTAAGAAGTTACTGCCACCTTACTGGAGGTTCCTGGCACACTCCTTTGTGATTTGCATTTCTAGAAGAAAGGGAGGCTCTGATGAAACTAGTTAGACTGTGACCTCAGCCATTGTTGCTCTGGCTATGGACTGGTATTATAACTTCTCAAAGTTCGTTTTTGAAGAGATGAAGAGCAACCTTCTGGGAAAGAAAAAGGACCTATTTTTAATGTACCGCAGGTTCCTTCAAATGATCCTAAATGAAAAATATCCCCAAATTGAGAGGTCGTCTGATACTTTGGATATTAAAGCTTTGGGTCCCAATACTTTTGGATTCATGAAGCAATCAAGAAAGGCTGCTAAAGTTGCTTATCAAGGATTAAAGGAGTTGGTTAAATTTGGAAAGTTTGATGAAGTTGAAGACACTCCTGTTGTTAGTTCCATAAATGTTGAGGTTGTCGAGGAACACGTGGTGCCCAAACCAAAGTTTCAATTAGCCTTTGAAGAGATTGAAGTGTCTAATGATGAAGAAGATCAAGAGTATCAAGGAAATAAATTGTGAGAAAATAAGTTTGAAATTTTTATTCAACAAAGTATCTCAATCCCAGAAGAGGATGTAGCTGTCACACCTCCGATCATAACTGAAACAGAAAGTGACACAGTGGTGCAATCTTCCTCACCGACCCCTGAACAAATGGATGCTCTTATTGCAGAACTTCAGCGAACTGCAAGGAAGCCTCCCCAAACAGTTCATGTTGATACTGAACCTCCATCTCTCCCAAGGAAGCGAAAGAGAAGAGATCCAAGGCCGGGAGTGCTTATCACAGACTCCGTTCAAAAGAAATCTACACTGATTGAGCCTGAAACTATGGCTCAAAACATACAAAGCCCGTTAACTGAATCCATTCCTATGGATCAAGATTTTGAAATCCCAATTGTTAAAGAAGAAGTCATACCTTCAGAAGGAGCTCAAGTTTCAAGAAGCTCATTTGAAACACCTGAGCTGGACATCTCCAAAGGCAAAAGCAAATTGTCTGACTCTGAATTGGTTGATGTGGTTCTGCTTTAGAACAGAGTCTTTGATCTGGAACAAAGCTCTGCTGAAAAAGATTTGATTATTGGAAAGTAGGACATTAGAATCAGTGAGCTTGAGAAAGAGAGCTCCGACAAAGCTTTAAAGATCTCAGAACTTCAAGCAAATCTTGGTGGTCTAACTGCTCTATTCTTTGACCTGAAACAACGCCTATTTCAAAAGTTTAGTGATGAATTTCAACCTTTGAGTGCTGATGGAGAAAAGATCACTGCCTCTAGTTCTGGTCCCACCAATCCAGCTTCTCAATCTTCAAGTGAAAGAGCTACAAGACCTGCTCCAGATGCTAATGTTGATACATTTTTATCTTCTGGTCCTGCTTCTGCTCAAGAAAGAAGAAATAAGCACATTATGGTTGAGCAGCGGAAAGGGAAGATGCTTGTGATGAAGCATTCAGACCAAAATGCTCCGGGTGATCACACTGAAATTTTTTTCAGCGAAACTGGAAAGAAATTCACAAATAAATATGGGGATCGTTTTGGTATCACCATGTGGGGATATGATGCTGACAAAAGGATGTGGGTCGTGAAACGGAAAAATGAAAAAATTGAATACTATGAGAAGAAAGTTGACTTCTTGTCCTGGACAAAAGTTGATCTTTCTGAACTCATACACACACCTTTCCACAATCCAACCAATGATACCATGGCCCGGTCCTTTAAGATTTTTCTTGAGATTAAAGCGAAAAATAACTTTGAAGGTTGAAAGACTGCTTCATCGTTTACTAAGAAGGCCAAGGGTGTCATTGATCCTCGTACACACAAAACCATGGTGAATGTTATGTGGCCACCCAAAAAGAAAGCCAAAAGGATTCCTCTTCCCAAACGCTTACCTGAAGGCACTTTGGATACAATACAATTCTGGGTTTATGATGAGGCTACTGCAACTGTGGTGATCAAGCTGAAGAAAAACCAGTTTTGTATTATTGATCCCAAAGATTTGTTGAAGTTTGGAGAACGTGATATTCGCACTTTGACAAACTTTCTAATACTTGTTGAGAATGAATTGTTTGAAGATGTCATATAGGCCTTCACTGGAATGGTAGCTACAATAATTGACAAGAAGCTGTGGCCAGGGGCATTTGATCAAGCAAACGTGCATCTCGTAGAGAAACCTTGAGGAGAAAAGAAATCAATAAACCATGGAGGAGATTGTTGGGCTATAGTTAGTGGTTTATGCTTTGTTTTGAATGTATTATATGGTTCTCGGTGGGCTTAGTGTGTTTTCGGTGGGCCTTTTATGTTTGGGCTTTAGGTTGTCGGTGTAGTATATATATAGTCTGTGTATAGTCTTTTAAGGCTAATGCATTTTTGGTGAACACGAGTTATTCACGACTAAAGAGTGATTGAATGTACTTCACAATTATTCAATAGAATTGTGTGAATTCATTTGAAACATGTTCTTGATATATCTGATTGATTGTTTCGTATTATTGTTTGATTAAGATTCCGCATTAAATCAAACAATTGCATTGATACTTTGATAGATCCGAGTTCATGGACTTACAAGTTTTGGAAACAAGGTGGTGATTCTGGATCCAAGACCTCCTCTTCAGGCTAAGCAACTTCTAGCTTCTTCAACTCCTTCAAAATGCACAAAAATGAACACCAAAAGCTCTCCAAAGGCTCAAACACTCAAAAATGGAAGCTAAGACTCGATTTTAGGGTTTCTAGATAGTAGAGGCTAACAGTTGGGACTTAATGACATTGTATAGGGCTTGAACCATAAAATTAGGGTTTCGGGTCTGAGCATGTTTGATGCGCGTGCATCCTTGTACGGAACGCGTACGTGCATGCCTCCGCGATCCACTTAGACCAACTACGCTCTGTGTACACTAGGCTTACGCCCAGCGTATGGCCTCGACGAGCCCACACATAAAAGGCCCAATTCACTAAGCCGAAAGCAACATAGCTGACTTAAAAAATTAAATAAATAATTAAATAAATAGTACCTTAGAACCATCGGGTGTTACAATTCTCCCCCACTTGGATCATACTTCGTCCTCGAAGTCCGCTGCCCCGAACAACTTTGGATAGTGCTCCCTCATCTCCTCCTCAGGATGCCAAGCCCACTATGATCCCTTGCGGTGCTGCCACTGCACCTTCACCAGCTCGACTTCCTTGTTCCTCAAGGTCTTCGTTCTTCGATCCAAAATCGCCACCGGTCTCTCAATATAATTTAGGCGGTCATCCACCTGAATATCCACCAGTGGTACCACTGCGGAATCATCCACTAAACACTTCCGCAATTGAGAGACGTGAAATGTGCTATAAATCTGACTGAGCTCGTCTGGAAGATCTAGACGCTATGCAACCCGGCCCACCCGAGCCAAAACCCTGAATAACCCAATATACCTGGGGCCCAACTTGCCCCGCTTCCTGAACTCGATGACACCTTTCCAAGGTGACACCTTTAGGAGAACCATATCTCCCACCTAGAACTCCAAGTCTGACTGGTGTCTGTCAGTAAAACTTTCTGCCGACTCTGAGCTGTTTGAAACCTGCTCCGAACCTGCTGAATCAACTCAGTGGTATTGAGTACCACCTCGGTACTCCCCATGACTCACTGACCGAACTCACCCCAATAAACCGGGGTCCTGCATTTCCTCCTGTAAAGCTTCTTAAAAGGTGGTCGATCAATGCTAGTGTGATAACTGTTGTTATACAAAAATTCTGCTAACAGAAGATACGTATCAGAACTCCCAAGAATATGAATAGTCCGCTCACTCTAACCATCGTTCTGCAGATGAAATGATGTACTGAATGGAGAAGAGTGTCCATCTCATCATGAAACCGCTTCCAAAATCTGGAAGTAAAACGAACATCCCTCTCTAAAACCACTGATATCGGCACCCTATGACGTGCCACCACCTCTCGGACATAAATCTCGGCCAACTTTTCTACAGAAATACTCTCCTGGATCGGAATAAAATGCGCGCTCTTGGTCAAACGATCCACGATGACCCAGATAGAATCCACTCCATGCGTAGTCCTCGGAAGCTTCGTGATAAAATCCATAGTGATGTCTTCCCATTTCCATACGGGAATCTCCAACAACTTCATCTTGTCGTGAGGTCGCTGATGCTCGGCCTTGACTTTCCTGCAAGTCAAGAACTGCACCATGTACCATGCCACATACCGCTTCATGCAGTGTGACAACCGTCAAATTTTGGTCAAACAAAGTCAAATAAGGTCAAGGAGTCAAACCGGTCAATTCATCTAGTGCTTGTATGTTAGAGCTTCTCTATGTTTACTAATGTACAACTCTACATCGTAATACAAAGTATCACTCGGAAGTTTCATATGTTCATAAAATCTAAACCCTAAATAGGGTGAGTGATGTAACGACTCGATAAAACACTATTACGTACCTTTCGGGGGCGTATAACACTCATAACAAGGCATAGTGGAGTCTACAAACCTATAACTATGGGGAAAAACACTAACAAAGGCTATAATCAAAGTCTCTCTCAATCTCTCTCACTCTATCACTCTCTCTCAAAATCTCTTTCAAAATTTTCATAAATATCTGTGCCATCCCGACCCTTCAATTAGTTGAAAATCACTCGAAACGGGAAGATAATACGAAAAACAGCACTTTGGAAGAGAAACCCTCTCAAGAAACGAAACCCTCTCAAGAAACGAAACCCTCTCAAGAAGCGAAACTCTCTCAGGAAGCGAAACCTCTCAGATGTGAAACCTCCTGATGCGAAACCTACTGATGTGAAACCTCCTGATGCGAAACCTCTCACCTGCGAACCGAAGACTTTCGCATCATCGGCCAGGTTCGCACCTCTTCCGACCTTCGTAGCTTCTACCCTCTCGCACCGAAACTCACTCTCGCACCGGGAGTACCCGCCTCCAAGCCAGCAGCCTTCGCTGCGAACCTGCCCTTCGCAGTCTCGCCTTCTCAAGTCCAGTTTTTGACCAGTTCACATTTTGAGTCCGTTTTTGATGTTTTTGACATGGGATTTTCACCCAATTCATATTTTTGGCATCTTAGACCTTCTAGACTCATATTTTATCCACATCTTATAGATTTATTAAATATAAATCATTCTCTAATTCAAGATAATATCTAAAGGACATAAAGGTACTTGTTGACTTTTCCATAAAGTTATGACACAAGCCACCTCTATGTCTACTTTATGTCACTATTCTAACTCTACCTAGTCAAATCATTGTCCTTTTATAACTTCTCCCAACAACCCATCAGATTTCTTTAAAACAAATCTATCGAAGAGATCTTCATTCTTCTACTCCAAGATTTCATTTTCTCTCATCAAAAGCAAAATTCTCTCTCCCTCTCTCTCTCTCTCTCTCTCTCTCTCTCTCTCAGTCACGATTTTTGGCAAGACGTGTTCTTGAGTTTTTCCTCCATTTTTGGTAAGTATCTTCCTCCAACTTCTAAACATTCTACACATTATTATACAAATCGTGATCATTTACATAAATATTCATATATTTGTTCATAGAATCGTCAAAACCTCAAGTGTTGTTCAAGTGTTCTTGACTTGAAATCCTTCATCCTCAACCTTCCACTCTACAAGAAATCACTCAAGGTGAGTTCATACCCCTACATTTTTATGTTTTCTTCAAGTTTTAGGGGGGGATACAAGATACAACACCAAAACATATTCCAAACTTAATCAACAGCTTTCAACAGAAACGTTATGGTCCGTTCACGGACTATTTTGACCATTTTAAACTTAATAATTTTCAAAACTGTACAAGGTGCAAATATTTCAGGTTTATGCCTTTCTAAAGACTACTCGCACGCATTCATGCGATTTTTCTACAATTTATGGCGATTTTTACAAAACTGCCAATCATTTCAGAAATGATTTCGGACCAGTCTATGAAGATGGACATCTTCACAATGGTTAGAGACCACTAAAAATTATGAACAAAGTAGACACATTTTCTGAACTCTTAGAGTATACGGATTAAGTTTTTGACTTACGATGATTTTTCTATAATTTTTATAAAAACATGGACATAAAAGTTAAAGTTAGAAAAATAGTTTACAAGTTCATTAATACTTTATAACATGTTGAGCAAAGTGTGTAACCATATAAAGATACATGTTGATTTTATTTCATGCTATTTTACTTCCATGAAAAAGAAATAATCATTCACATAAGGGTCTTTCATCACTACAAACATATATGATAAACTATAATAGGTATAGTTTATGGTATATTAACACTACGAACATACTAATAAAGGTTTCACTTCCACTACAAAAAGGGTTTTTTTCATTCACACTACACGTAAACTCGTTGAATCAAATTTGTGAGACACTACTTCATTGTACCCTCTAGGTTACAGGTTAAAGTCATGTATTATAACCAGAGTCTCTTGTAGGGAGAGCGTGATACTTGTGTATAGATCTATATTGGGACTGACAATCCCGCACCTAAGCTGCATGCAACAGCTAGACCGACAGGTCTGGGGTGTCAAATGTCATAACATTCTGACGCCTGAAGAACGTCGTAACAAGCCATCTATGTCATTATCACGGTTATAA